GGGGCATTCACAAATGGCGAATACAAATTGAGAATTTGTACAATTCACAAATCTAATCGTAAGATCCTTGAATGCTTCGCGACAGGCGTTTATTCCGCAAGTTGGAAGATAAATATAATGGGGTTGACTCTGAGTTTTCGAGTTTTTTAGTTTGTAAATGTCGCAGGCAAATAGTAAAATCAGGCATTTCGTCAAATGCCTGGGCAAATAGTCAAATATTCTGACTTAGATTGAAATTCTGATTCTTTTCCTAATTTCAGACAAAATAATCCATTGCTCCTGCAGGAAAAGATTCTGAGTAAAAATTTGCACACACAATAGTATTTTAAACAACTTTTAGCTCCTGAAGAGACACTGATCTTGAAATTTTCAGCATGTCGCAATATGCAGAATTTTCGGAATTTCAACATTTAAAAATATCAGGAGCAATGGAAGAGGAAGAGACAAAAGGAGTTCGTAGGTTTGATGGGTTATTTTTCCAATAGTAATGAAAAATACTGAGCTCTTCGCCAGAAATTCAGAAAATTTTGTAGACCGTCAAAATTTGACTATCTGCCTAGGCATTTGACAAAATGCCTGATTTTACAATTTGCTTGCGACATAAACATTTGTTCCGTCACTCCAGAGAGATCACGTTGGATTAATAGGAAACAAAATATTTCTTGATCCTCTAAAGATCCACCCGATCAGAAATATGCTGCTGATTTAACAATTCAATTGCTGAAAAAAGTGACTGCAATATTTGAACGTAGATTTTACAACAAAAAAATGCTACTTTCATCACTATTGTAAGCTACTTTAACCACGGGGGTGGTTAAAGTAGCATTTTTTTGTTGTGAAATCTACATTGAAACATTGCAGTCACTTTTTTTAGTTACTGAATATTGTTAAATCAGCACTTGTGTTTTTTCAGTGCACTCGAAAATATCGTTTACCACCGTATCAATTCGTTGATTCTCGAAATACCCTCGGTGATGAAAAACGCAGATGTTATGAGGAAAAAGCGCTGAAAGTTAATACTTTCTGAGGCACTGGAATACTTCAATGGCGTTTATGTCTGGGTGCAATTTGCGGCGCATGAAGGGTGTCCGTATCACATACCTAAAAATCAAATGTGAACTCGCTTTTTTACGGCCCAAGTCCCCACCAAACAGCTATGCGTGACCACCGAACGCTAAATACAACTATTCGTACTTAATGGATGTACGTATTGCATTCGAAAAATTGAAGGCGAACTTGCCTTCCCAAATAGTTTCAGCCCAGACACAGATAGACAGTGCGGTAATCGCGAAAACAAGAGGGTTAGACTCGGATGTCGGAATTATTGCATCCAATAAATTGAAGGCGAACTTGCTCTGCGCGACATCTATCTGAAAAGGGGAAAGGGACAGTAGATACGTGTTCTTGAAAAAACCAAAAAGCACGCCGAGCAATGGAAAATTTAGGAAAACCATCTCTCCGAGGGAAAATCTGAAGAAAACATTAGATGGACTTAAACAGAATCAGCCTGACTAAATTAGATGTTGCCTCATTTCTCCTAGTATTTCATTTTTTTCTACAGAAACTGAGCAGAATTCTGACCTGTATTTTGTGAGAATTTCCCTCTGAATCCAGGAAAAAAGTCCAAAAAGTTTGGGTTGATTTTCTGTTTATTCTTCTGTAACAAAAATAATAAACAGAGGACATTATGCAACGCGGAATGCAGATATGTTAAATTTATCCAATCAACTACCGAAGGTCATATTATTTAATGACGCACTCAAAACTGATCTTTTAAATACAAATCCAAATCTGTTTATTTTTCCAAAATGCAAATTTTCAGTGTCGATAAAATTCACGACGGCTCCTTTTAATAGTCAGTTTGTTCCGTTCCCGCCGAAAACATCGCCGCACGGTGGAGCGAGTTAGTGATAGGGTACGCGTGCTTGGCGATATATCGATTGATCTGCCATTTAAACCTATGGAAAAGGATCGATAGACAGGGTGATCGCAACGGAACCTTAATAATCGATTCTTTACCACAGTTTCAAATGGGGAAAAATCGATAATCGATCATTCACGCCTCGCCACTAATAAAGTATAACATGATGTGGGAAATTTAAATGCTTATCTTCATCAATACGATACGTAGAAATTTTAAAGTAGTTAAATTGATTTCCTCTGGTTTTTAATTAAGCTGTTTATGAACACCCCACACAATTTAAGCTGTGAGGAAATAAGCATTAAACTCAGCAATTTAAGACAACATTTATATGTCCGATTTATCTTCAAGTATCGTTCCTCTGTACGCCGATGCTGGCGGCCTTGCTCAAAAGGCGCGCAGCTTTTCAAAAAAAAGAAGAAAATACGAAACTTTGACCTCGTCCCAACCTCTTTCCCGCCGTCGAACCCCTGAGCGACGCAAAGTCTCGGAATATAAAAGTTTGAATCTTATTTATAGAATACTCATAAACAAACTCATAAATAACCCTTTACAGCTCCGGTCGGCGGGCAATGGTATCCAGAGCGAACTGAAGCCAAAAGTGTCGTATTCACAGACGTTCTTTACACGGCCTAACTTCATTGAGACACACCATTTCGATGCCCAAATCGTGAAACCACACATATTCATCTCAGTGTTTTCAAAATTTCCGTTTTTATAATATGTTTTCTATCAGAGGAACAAGCCATTTAAACCTATGGAAAAGGATCGATAAACAGGGTGTTTGCAGCGAACACCTTAATAATCGATTCTTTACCATAGGTTTAAATGGCATAACAATCGATACATCGCAATTTACACCACGCCACTGGGAGATACGTGTTTCCGCACTTTAGCCATCGATTTTAAATGAATCACTGGGCAAAATAAGAGTTTAAGCATTTTGATTCATGTTTTATCTTCAAAATTAATACACGCAGAGCATGATTTTCAAGATAAAGTATAGTAAAATTAATTTTCAGCCAAAATAACAGCGAATCTAATTAGGATTGGCTACGAAAAATTTGAAATTACTGCTTCAATATGGAAATCATTTTAATTTGAGGGACACGAAAAAACCAAAACTTTAAAGGATCGTTTAATTTTTTTATATACCTTGGTAGAGTATTGGTATTTTATTAAAGTTGTTTAAGTGAGTATGAAATGGATGGATTTATTCAAAATAAGCCTAGCTATACGGCAGAAGTTGCCTAATACTATCTGATATATTATTTTGCAAACAGAAAACTTAGTAAAACAGCAAGTTGAAATTTTGGGAGTATATATTCATCATAATCTAGAGTAAACAGCTCAGTTCTCTATATTAAATCAATAAAATGAGAGAAAATCAGGCGACTTGAAACGCATTCGGACTGATTTTTGTTGAATTCGTCCAAATTGCCACCGTCTTGCTTGTATCATGTTTAGTCTCTTCAGTCCTTTCCTTTTACTTCGAAGTTTCCTTTCACTTCGGAGTTGTACGGATATTGGCGCCATTAGGACCACCGTGCGACGCGAAAGTCGTATCAGCGCATCTTTCTACTCCCCCGCTTCGATTTTTGTCCCTTTTCCTTGATCCATCCCTTGTTGCCAAACTTCTGGGTAATATGGAGGATCATCTCTCGGTTAATAACCCTTTATTCAGGATAAACAGTTAAAAAAAATGTTCACGTTCATAGTTACTATTGGTTATTTTCAGTATCTTTTGTCTTCGTGTCAACAATAGGATTTAGTTGATCGACCTATTTGGTTCAATCGACTGAAACCGTAGGTTTCTGTGGGTTTTTTTGGAAATGAAACAAGTGCCCTGCTGAACTAACGTAATCTTATTTCTTTCGATGTCACTATAGGAGGTTGTAACTTGCGAGTTGCTAGCGCATTGGACGATCATTAACGCGATCCAAGTCCAATCCTTGTGGCTTGCACCTGAAATTTAACGAGGCTCCAAAGTTTCAACCGAAATTTTTCTCAGTGTAACCCGAAGAAAAACTAACTGTACGTTTAAATTATTCGGCGATTTACTTCCCATATTAGCACAACATATCTGTTACTCTATATCATACTGGGTAGAGGACGTAGAATACTGTTTGTTTTAAAGGGAAAAAGCTCCTCCGCAACTGCCGGCTGATTATTGAAATTGATAGACAAAACTATAGACAAAGAGGACAGAAAGGATATGGAGGGATCCTGTTAGTAGAAACGGGTGGTTGCAATGGACAGAGGACGTAGGTAATAGACTAACTAACGGCAACCCACGAGAGACCCCATAGTTAATCCACATTTACCCCCTTAGTCTATCAGAACCACCCATTTCAACCAAATAGGATCGCCCCATACTCCTTATGTCTTCTTTGTCTATAGCTTTGTCTATAAACTTCAATAATCGGGCCGCTGGACATGGCAAATTCTTGTTTGAACAGATCTTCTTCTGTTACGCCGATCAATAATCCACAATAATCAAGATGAGATTCTCTTTTAAGCGCACAAACGGCCTAATTGAGTAGGATAACATTACCTGGACGACGACAGAGCAAACAAAACTGGTTACCATCGTTTGGGACCCAAACACACTTTGGCCATACTGCCGTTCTAAGGCAAAACGCCGTATGAGCATTTGCATGTTGCCAAATGTCGTCTCAGAAAACATCTATTTTTGAGGAAAATTATGAATATTTTTCCTTGGAATTTTGAAATTTGTGTTCTCTTAATCGAAATTCGGCAACGCTTGCAGGTTCATACGGCATTTTTCCGTAGCACTAGTTTTGTTCCTAAGTCATCGAAGCGAGTCCATGAGGCATGGAGGTGCCATCCCGGAACCCAGGAAAAAATCGCGATGAATCGATACAAGTTGCGCGACCGGAACATCGATACCTCGGCGGCGCTTTGTCCGGCCGGCCGCGGCGTGGCGGTGGCTGCGTCCATTGTTCGGCGGGTTGCGGGTGGCGGGGCGCAGGCGCCGGGCGCGGGTTGCTAGGCGACGACCCCCGTCTGCGGGAGATGAGCTCCTTGGCGGACACCTGATTCAGTTTCGGATCGCGATCGGTGATGCTATCGCCCGCTTATCTCCGCGCCCAGCCCACCTAACCTCACATCGAGAGTAAGGTCGTTACCAGGCTCACGGACGATTATCGCCCGATCCGTTTTCTCGAGCCTCATTCCCGCGCTTTTTCCCCGGTGCCACGACCCGGTTAATCCGGCGTAGTGTGTGTGACTTTCCGCCGGACGCTGATTTTCTGTCGGAGGAGTTTTGGAGATTTTGTGGTGAGTTCGCTTTTTGTTCGTGGGCTGAGGGTTTCTGCCGTGATGGTGAGGAGAGCCGTGAGGGTCTCGGTACACGATCAAATTCCCGAACCGATTACCATCGAAGTGTCGGGAGTCATCAGTCTTGAAATCGTTACTTCGCCTAGGTTTTAAATGAAAACCTGGCAGAAATGTTTCGTGTGATGAACAGTGGCACTCCATTTTGATCAAAATTTGACGGGCCGTCAAATTCTGATCGAAGAGGACTGTTGCATGGTGACCATCAGTTATCAACTGGTCTACTTTGATCAAAATTGGTTCGGAATTTGATCGTGTAGCGAGACTTCAAGTCTTAAATTTCGGAATCGAGTTTCCTTCAAAATTCGCGCCGAAACTCTTTCAGATATAATAATCACATTTTTCAGCCAAAACAATTTTTGTCTTTTTTGTCTTTTTTTATGAAAACGAGACATATCGACGATGGAAGTCCGCAACCACAGATCCCGGTTTGCGACGTAGCAGACGTCCTGTCATGCTTTATTATTTAAACGGAAAATTACTCAACGGAAATTTTTTAAAACTGCTGTGATTTTTCTTCTCTGTGCGAAGAAAATTCTGCATACACTTCAAGGAACGATGTCAATTTGTTCTCCTTGAAACAAATAATATGGAGGCGGAGCTTTTCAAACACCGCAAACGAGATACGTAGTTGCAGACTTACACCGCGTTGATATGAAAAAGCTGCAAAGGCGCAAAAAATGAAGGAGTTTTAGACAAAAGAGCAGTATGTAGCATTATTCCTCCAGAAAGCCAATGAAAATAGTGCTTTTAAGTATAATGCCACTCTTTTCTACCAATTTCCAACCTCAAAATGTGTCTGTTGTGTGTTCAAAACGATACCGCGAAAAAATGCAGAAGATATAGCACTCACGGCTGTCTTGCCCAACAATAACATAGTATGAAAATGAAAACTACCCTTTTTATCTAATTCAAATAAAATCGGTCGATTTTCAATAATCCAAACGATTTCTATGAGTCTTTCGGATGACTGGAGGGATAATTCTAAAAGTGGACGAAGACCTCTGTAAATAGAATTTCCCGCTCAGACGCTGGTGAGCCCATTTTCTCAAAACTTCAATTTAGTACTAATGGCTCTCTTCGCTGGCACGATAGATAGTGGTTCTCCTGACACATAGAGTAAAAATTAAAAGTAAAACGTACGGTAAAATTTATCCTGTACAGTGTACATGTACTTTGTCGACTCTCGTCTGGGCAGTTTTTGTGACTCACCTCACAAATCTATTTCGAGAATGCTCTCGAATTTATGAATATCGAAAGTGAACGCTTGTCTTTCTATTAAAATATAGGCATGACACAACTTATCAGTTGGTGCCGGGCCTCTCCGCGATTCTAGATTATCGGAATCTCAGTTGCACCGCGCCGCAGCATCGCATGTTGGATCAGGCACCCGCGAGATAACTATTCGTACTCCTAGGATGCGCGGGTTGCGGCTCAACTCAGTTGAAGGCGTTTTCACCGGACCGAGCCAGATCCATTCTTCTGAAAGGCTTTGATCGGGATTCAGCGGTGGAACGTAAATCATCGGGTATCGCTACTTTCTCATTTGAAGATCGATAATGTTGAGGATCGGTAACGGGCAGTTTTGTCGTCCGAATGGAGCGGTTATTTAATTTTCGGGACATTCAATGTCGATCAGCTCCAAATGAGTATCGCACGTAGAAAAAAACTGTGATTACAAGGACTGAGTTGCAAATCATCACGAGAAAAAAAGTTTAGTTGTATGAGCCGGAGTACGGTGTTCTATACTGCCGTGATAAGAAAGAACGTCATATGAACATTCTAAAGTTGCCAAATTGTCTTCGATAAAATGTTAATTTTTGAGGAAAGTTATGAATATTTTTTCTTTAAATTTTCAGAATCTTTAGGTGAAATCACGGAAAAAATTTTCTGAAAAAATGGGAGGAAAATATTAATGAGTTAACCAGGATATTCGCGTTTTATCGTAGGAAATTTGGCAACTTCTGAAGGTTCTTACGGCGTTCTTCCTTAGCACGGTAGTACATCGGCCTCACTATTTGACTCGTTAATTTGAACCCTCGTTTCGGGTCTGATGACCGTATCCTCAGTTCGTGAAACCGAACTCTTCCTTTATAGTTTAGTTCATGCTACTGAACTGCTTTTTCACAGTTAGGTGTGGTCTGAATGTTCGGTTGATTGGATTCCGATTACATTAACTAAGAACTGAAATCATGAACGAAACAGTGTGGTCATTTTACACGCGACTATCTTATGGTTCATTTAACCAAATTTCTTTCCTCAGTGTAAATTGACATTACACTGTGAGAAAACTTCAATTACAAGGGCTGAACTTCAATTCACGACGGAGCACCAAGATGTTCGATACGGGTAATTTAGGTTTTTGCTTGCAAATCTTGAATTCGGTTCAGGTAACCGAAGTCTTTGATAAAAAATAAGTTTTAGTTTACCGAACGAAAACTTCAGTTATCTGAACCGAATTTCGGTCCATATGGAAAACTTTGGTTATTTGGATTAAAATGTACCAAAAGTTAATTCTCCGTGAACTGGGTGACTAGTGTCAGTGTTTCAGGAGTTCTTTGCAACAAGTACGTATTCACGGTAAAAACTTCGGCTCACATGGCAAATGAAAGTTGTTAGATCAAGAATTAAAATATTCGGCAATGGGAACTGAGGCTCAGGCAACAAGATTTTTCGCGATTTTCGATAACAACAGAATTCAACGGGATATTTCCTCTTCAAAATTTTCAGACGATTTTGTTCGCAATCGATGTAAAATACCTGAAAGTTTCAAGGGGGAATGAGCATCAATTTTTATAAAGACAAATATTTAATCGAGAGAAATTCGACAACATTTGATTGCTCGTATGGCCTTTTTCCTCGGCTCGGAATCTCCGAGGGTTGTCAGATTCGTCGAAGGAGACTCTTTATTTCCGAACGACTAATCATACGAGACAAAAGGCTCCGACGAAAAGTTTCCGGGATCGAACGTCTTCGTTACTGTGACGTAAAGCGTATCTCAATTTTAACGTGAGCCCTGAGAGATAGGGAATTCCACGAGGAGAGGGCTCACTTCAGACACAGTTACGTCCTAACGTCAAAGAAGTGTCAACGCGTGGACTGGGACTTTGAAGTTGGGAACGAGGATGATTCTAACTTGACTCGGAGAACCGTTCCGTCTCCTCGCGGAGAAACCGCGTAACTCCACCGGGATCCATGCGTACATACGTGGTTCTTACTTAAGCCGGCAGCGTTTATGCGAGAATAAACTGAGGTATCAAAAATTGAGAGGGAAACAGGGCTCGAAAATGACTCGACTTGCAAGTGACCCTCATTCGTCGATCCTCTAACGTAAGGGCGTACCTCTATCTTCTCATGAGCCCCGGAGGGCATTGATTCAGATGTAAAACAGGGCTCACGTGCAAATTGAGATACGCGGTTACGCCAAAGGGGCGACGTCATGTCCTCCTCTGTCACTTACGCTGAGAGGCTGCCTTTGATCTCTTAAGTTTCCTGTTTCCAGGGCCGCTGAGATTCCTAATTTAATTCGAGGATTTGTAGAGCGGCAAACGCAGGATTGTTCTTTCCTCCCCGGGTTTTTTTATCCTTTTCGGTTTCAAGCGTACCTTTCTCCTGCCGTGCCGTGCTGAGGAGGAACGCCGTATGAGCCTTCAGACGTTGCCGGAAATCCTTCGATAAAACCCGAATTTACTGGGAAAATTGTAGACATTTTTCCCCAAAATTAAGAGACAATATTGTACGCAATTTAATCTGGAATATCTGAAAAATTCAAAGCAAAATATGCTTGAATTGCGTCAAAAATACACTTTTTATCGAGGGAAATTTGGCAACTCTCGGATGTTCATACGACGTTCCTCTTTAGCACGACAGTATCGTGGAACGGGTCTCACCTTCCCCACTGCACTCGTTTTGCTCTGATTAACTTTCACATCAGATTTCGATTAAAGTGAGATTCGGAGGGCACGTTTTTGCCCCCCTCCCCCTCTGAAGCTCTCATCTCCTATGAAACTGTTCCAAATTCAGATTTTTTGCATGAAATATCACCACCAATCCTTGATTTGGCGATTTGAATCATTTCGATGGCCGAAATGGGAAATCTTTTATCTCAGTTTGCGACGTTGCAGACTTCTGCCGTGCCATTTCTCAAAATTTCAATTTAGTACTAATGGCTCTCTTCGCTGGCACGATAGATAGTGAGTCTCCTGACACATAGAGTAAGAATTAAAATTAAAACGTACGGTAAAATTTACCCTGTACAGTATACATGTACTTTGTCGACTCTCGTCTGGGCAGTTTTTGTGACTCATCTCACAAATATATTTCGAGAATGCTCTCAAATTTATGAATATCGAAAGTGAATGCTTGTTTTTCTATTAAAATATAAGCATGGCACAACTTATCAGTTAGTGCTGAGCCTCTCCGTGATTCTAGATTATCGGAATCTCAGTTGCACCGAGCCGCAACATCGCATGTTGGATCAGGCACCCGCGAGATAACTATTCGTACTCCTAGGATGCGCGGGTTGCGGCTCGACTCAGTTGAAGGCGTTTTCACCGGACCGAGCCAGATCCGTTCTCCTGAGAGGCTTTCATCGGGATTCAGCGGTGAAACGTAAATCATCGGGTATCGCTACTTTCTCATTTGAAGATCGATAATGTTGAGGATCGGTAACGGGCAGTTTTGTCGTTCGAATGAAGCGGTTATTTAATTTTCGGAAAATTCAATGTCCATCAGCTCCAAATGAGTATCAGACGTACAGAAAAACTGCGATTACAAGGACTGAATTTCAAATCATCAGAAAAAAGTTTAGTTGTATGAGCCGGAGTGCGGAGTTCTGTACTGCCGTGATAAGAAAGAACGCCGTATGAACATTCGAGAGTTGCCAAATTTCCCTTGATAAAACATGTATTTTTGACAACATCCATGCACATCTATATTTTTAA